CCTGTCGCTTGTCATTTGTTGCCATTCACTTACACTTTCTTTCTCTGCTCAACTTTATTCTTCTTCTCCATTCCAACCACTTGGTCTCCTATGTTTACATGACCTTCCACATTTCAGCTGATTGATTCAATGGTAGATACCTGATTTGCACTGGGCTAATCTAGTTTTCTTGAGAATTTTCTGAACTAGACATTTTTTTAAAAGTCTTTTTGACCCTGCTGGCTCCTGCTGAGCTTCTTAACTACTTGCTAATATTGTGAAGGAAATTGGTTTGCAGCGGGAGAAAATAAAATCTAGATGCTGATAAAGGCAGAGTTTGAAGGATAAGTGAAAATTCCAATTAGTATTCATGTCGTCTATTTGAGTTATTCCTGAGGTTCAATTCTATTTATGCCACCCCACATAGCTCAGCCATTTGATCTTCCCTTAACTTCTAAACACCAACACATTTATTTTACTTAAATTAATTATTTAGATTTTTACCACTTACAATCAATGGTTAAACTTGAATATATTGTTAAGGATTAGGGTCATCTGTGGATGACAAGATGCTTTTAGAAGTAGCATGGATAAACAGGGTAGTGTGATACACAGCTGTTCTCCCAGTGACTCTGGAGACTGAAGCAGGAGGATCACAATTCCACACCAGTTTCATCAATTTAGCAAGACCCTAAGCAACTTAGCAAGACCCTATTTCTTTCTTTATTTATTTATTTTTAATTTTTTACCTTTATTTTTTTATTTAATTGATTTTATTTTCTTTCAAATACAAGACAGAGGAATGCATTACAATTCTTATTACATATATAGAGCACAATTTTTCATATCTTTGTATATAAAGTATGTTCATGCCAATTCATGTTTTTATACATGTACTTTTTTTTAAAGAGAGAGAGAGAGAGGAGGGAGAGAGAGAGAATCTTTTTTAAAAAATATTTATTTTATTTTTTTAGTTTTCGGCGGACACAACATCTTTGTTTGTATGTGGTGCTGAGGATCGAACCGGGGCAGCGCGCTCGCCTGGCGAGCGCGCTACCACTTGAGCCACATCCCCAGCCCATGTACTTTGTTTTTTGTTTGTTTGGTTTTGCATTACAATTCTTATTACACATATATACCACAATTTTTCATATCTCTGTTTATATATAATAATAATTATATATAAAGTAGGTTGACACCCAATTCGTATCTTCATACATGTACTTTGGATAATGATGTCCATCACATTCCACCATCCTTGCTACTCCCCTGCCTCCTCCCTTTCCCTCCCTCCCCTCTTCCCTATCTAGAATTCATCTATTCCTCCTATGTTCCCCCTCCCTACTCCACTATGAGTCAGCCTCCTTATATCAGAGAAAACATTCGGCATTTGTTTTTTTGAGATTGGCTATTGCAAGACTTGCAAGACCCTATTTCTAAGTAAAAAATGAAAAGGGCCAGGTGAAGTGACACATGTTTGTAATCCTAGTGGCTTGGGAGGCTGAGACAGGAGGATCATGAGTTCAAAGCCTGCCTCTGCAAAAAGCAAGATGCTAAGCAACTCAGTGAGACCCTGTCTCTAAATAAAATACAAAATAGGGCGGAGGATGTGGCTCAGTGGTGGAGTGCCCCTGAGTTCAATCTCCAGTACCTAAATAAATAAATAATAAATAAAAAGGGCTTAGGATGCAGCTCAGTGGTAAAGCATCCCTGTATTCCATCCTTGGTACATAGAGGGGAAAAAGTGGAATAAATGGAAGACAAGTTTTTTGGGGGGTGGTCTTTATGTTTGTTTGTTTTTGTACCAGGCATTGAACCCGGGAGTACATAACCACTGTCCCCAGCCTTTTTATATTATATTTAGAGACTGGGTCTCACTGAGTTGCTTAAGCCCTCACTAAATTGCTGAGGCTGGCTTTGAACTCACCATCCTCCTGCCTCAGCCTCCTAAGCTGCTGGGATTACAGGTATGTGCCACTGCACGGGGCTATTTGTGGTTTTATAAAATTTTTAGGATTTTCATTTTTATTTATATGAAATATTGGAATTTTATAGAGATTGCATTGAATCTGTAGATAGGCTTGAGTAGTATGGGCTTTTTATTTGTAACTGAAATATAATAATTGTACATATGTGTAGGATTCAATGTGATATTTTGATACATTTAAAAAAATTTTTTTTAGTTGTCAATGGACCTTTATTTTTATTTATTTACATGTAGTGCTGAGAATCCAACCCAGTGCCTCACAGGTGTTGGGCAAGTGCTCTACCACTGAACCACAACCCCAGCCCTTGATACATTTTAACAATATAAATTCTTCTAATCCTTGAATATGAGATATCTTTACATTTATTTGTGTCTTCTTGAATTTCTTTCATTAGTGTTTTGTTTTTTGGTACCAGGATATTGAATCCATGGCACTTAACCACTGAGCTACATCCCCACCCCTTTTTATTTTTTATTTTGAGACTAGGTCTCATTAAGTTGCTCAGGGCCTCAATAAATTGCTGAGGCTGGTTTTGATCTTGTAATCCTCCTTCCTCAGCCTCAGTAGTGGCTGGGATTACAAGTGTGGGCCACCACAGGCAGCTCATTAGTATTTTATAATTTCCAATGTACAAATCTTTCTTTTGTCTTCTTGGTTAAGTTTATTCCTAAATCGTTTTGTTTTTGTTTTTCCAAGTCTCTGGTTTTATTTCTTTTTGGTATGTGTCCAGAAGTGGAATGGCTGGATCATTAGGTAACTCTTTTCAATTTTTTAGTAACTGCCATACCATTTTCTACAGTGGCTGTACAATTTTATATTTCTATCAACAATGCATAATGGTTCAAATTTCTCCACATCACCCCAACGTTTCTTTTTGTTGTTGTTTCTAATAGTTATTCAAATTGGTGTGAAGTGGTGCCTTATTGTGGCTTTGATTTGCATTACTCTATCATTGGTTGTTAGTTTTTTTCCTTATATATAGGAATCTCCATGAATAATTGTGTGTGTGTGTGTGTGTGTGTGTGTGTTTTGCTGATAGGATTGAACCCAGGGCCTTGTACACAGGAGGCAAGCACTCTACCAATTGAGCTATATCCCCAGTCCCAACTCCATGAATATTTACCATAGTGTGGAAAGGGAGGCCTGAAGGGAATAAACTTTTTCAAATCCAGAAGAAATAATGTGTTGGATGCAGTAACATATGTCTGTAATTCCAACTGTTTCAGAGGCCAAGGCAGGAGGTTTGAAAGTTCCAAGGCCCACCTGGGCAATTTAGAGAGACCCTGTCTCAAAATAAGAAATAAAAAGGGCTGGGGGGTGTGGCTCAGTAGTTAAAACACCCTTGGGTTCAATCCCTGGTACCAAAAAAAAATAAATAAATAAATAAATAAATAAAAGCAAACAAACAAAGTTTACCAGAGTTGACTGGAGGTTTCTACTCCCTTCTGGGGACCTCCTTGGACCTGATCCAGTAACAGCTTGGGGTACAGTTTCTCCAGTAGAAAATAGATGCTGACCAATAAAAGTTACTGACAGCAGCCTGAGCTGTAGCTTATTTGTGGTAAAAAGGAAATTTTGTTTACATTATAAATGATATAGAATTGAATAATAATACTAGCATGTAACTCAGTTAAAGAGTGTGTATCTAGCATGCACAAGGGCCTGGGTTCAATCCCCACCATCAGACACAAAAAAAAGTAATGATAATGAAAGTAATACATGTCATAATTAGTGGAGGGAAGGAAGACCATGATGGCAACAAAGCCCTTCCTAGGTTCAATCCTCAATACCAAAAAAAAAAAAAAAAGTAGCAGCACCTTAATGTAGTTGGGGTTGTGGCTTAGTGGTAGAGCACTTGTCTAGCATGTACAAGGTCCTGGGTTTAATACTCAGCACCACATAAAAATAAATAAATAAAATAAAGGTATTGTGTCCAACTACTTCTAAAAAATAAATATTTTAAAAAATGTATAGCATAATCTGTGGGGTTTTTTTTTTTTTAAAGAAACCCAGAATCTTGCACATGCTGGACAAGTGAGCTACATCCTCAGTCCTTTTAGAAACTTTTGTAAGTGTTCAATAAAGCTAATTGTTATTGTTAAACTCTGGGATAGTGCTCAATGAACACACAATCTAGTATAAGCAAATAATTGCAGCATGTGAAAAGAACTATAGAAGAGGGGCTGGGATTGTGGCTCAGCAGTAGAGCACTCGCCTAGCAAGTGCACACCCTGGGTTCAATCCGCAGCACCACATAAAAATAAATAAAGGTATTGGGTACAACTACAACTAAAAAAATAAATATTAAAAAAAAGAACTATAGAAGAGAGAGGTACTAAGTACAAGTCAGGCCCAGTGAATAGTGTAACGAGCACTTACAGGCCAGTTACTAGGCTTTGCACTCTTTGGGCATTTTCTTTTAATCTTCACGACAATGCCATGAAATGGGTACTGATATGACACCAGTTAGGAAATTAAATATTAGAGTTCTTAAGTAACTTTCTGGTCACAAGCTTGTTGAAACTGGTGAAGTGGTAGATCAGGGATTCATACCACGTGTACCTGCTCTCTATGGGATACGAGCTCATTGTCCACTACTTTGTACTTTATCTGCTCATCTGAGTCAGGGAGCATTTCCTAGATGAACATGAGCTGAGCATTGAAGGACAAGGGGAAAAGCAATCCAGGTGAGGAATCATGTGCGCACAAAAGCATGAAATTATGAAAGGCATTGTATCTGCAGAACTGGAAAAATTCCAGTTAGCATAATTCCTTACTGATCAAACTCACACACAGATTTGTCTTTGACTTCAGCACTTACCATACCATCTTCTCCCCCTCCCCCACCTTGGTACAGGGGATTGAACCAGGAGCACTTAACTACTGAGTCACATTACCCAGCCCTTTTTTGTATTTTATTTAGCAACAGGTACTCACTGAGTTGCTGAGTCTGGCTTTGAACTTGCAATCCTCCTGCCTCAGCCTCCCAACCCAGAGAATACAGGCATGCACCAGTGTACCCAGCCATGCTTCTTCTTAATGAAACACTTCATGAATTTGCATGTCATCTTTGCACAGGGGCTGTGCTAATCTCTGTTTTATTCCAATTTTAGTATATGTGCTGCCAAAGCAAGCACAATTCTGTCTCCTCCTCCTTCTCCTCTTATTTTTGTGGTATGGGAGATGGAAACCAGGGGTGCTCTACAATTGGGCCACATCCCTAGCCATTCTTATTCTTTAAGACAGGATTTTTGTGTGTATGTGTGATATTCCTCTTTTTATTATTCTTTTTTTATATACAAAATATACAGTAGAGTTTATTTTGAAATATTATACAAACATAGAATAAGTATAACTTGTTCCAATTAGGATCCCATTATTGTGGTTGTATATGATGTGGAGTTAACATTGGTCCTTTATTTATATATGAGGATAGGAAAGATATGTCTGACTCATCCTACTGTCTTTCCTATTACCATTCCCCTTCCCTTCCCTTCATTCCCCTTTGTCTAGTCCAATGAACTTCTAATCTTCCCTTCCCTTGTTGTGGGTTAGCATCCAAGACAGGATCTTTCTAAGTTGCTAAGGCTGGCTTTGAACTTTTTATCATTATAACTAATAATATATAGCTCAGATGTGTGACCTCCAAAACTAGTGATTTTTATAAAACTAAAAGCAAGTAACTAAGGGGGAAGATTGGAGCTCAGAATCAGAGAAGTAGAAAGTACAAAGCATTGTTTAGTATAAGTGAGATTAGGCCAGCTGTGTTTGTTGGCAGGTAATTATCAAAGTTAGAATACTGTCTTCTCATGGAGTCTTGGAGACTGAAGTCTTATTCTTTTGATGGTTACATTCCTGAGAAATGACTCTCAAGTCCTTGAGAGATGCTTCTGTGCTATGAAGGATACATATTTACAATTATAAGCCTTTTTTTCGGGTAAATGCCCAGCAAATGATTGTGGTCCATGGTTTTAGATTTGCAGGAGCATGGCTCTTACAATGAGACTCCACTATTGATTGCTAAGTAGCATTTTCTCTCCTGGTAGTAAAGTAACCTCAAATATTATTAGAGAAACCATTTCTCCACTCTTGGCCATATGATTTAATTCTGAATATAGACCTCGATGTTGTCCTGCCCTGCCCCCCAAATTTGGCAACATACCAATGGACTACTCATGACTCTTTCTATCTTAAATTTTTATCTCATTGTCCTATACGTGAAATCCCTCTTCTTGGTAACCTATATTTGATTGCTTGAAACCCTCTGGGAGTTCTTTTTCAAAGTTAAGTGCAGGCAGGACAGTGACTTGAATCCCTTTTTCCTCATAGTTTCTCCTGATCTTGGTCCTTGGTGTCTTATCATTTCCAATATGCAAAAGAAATTTGAGAAGATCAGTTCATGGTCAGTCAATTCCATTGCTGTGGACCTGAGATAAGGCAGAATATCATGGAGGAAGAGCATGGCAGAGGAAAGTTATTCAGCTCATGGTAGCCAGGAAGCAGAAACAAAGATAGGAACCATTTTTGCAACCTTGAGGAGAGAATCTAGAGTTGCCTGGGTGTGGGTAGGGTGAGATAACAAAGATTAAGGCAGTGGTTGTAGCTCAGTGGTATGGCACTTGCCTCACATGTGTAAGGTACTGGGTTCAATTCTCAGGACCATAAATAAATAAATAAGTAGATAAAAAAATAAATAATAAACGTCCATCAACAACTAAAAAAATATTTAATAAAGAGTAAGGCAGGGCTGGGGATATAGCTCAGTTGGTAGAGTGCTTGCCTCACATGCCCAAGGCCCTGGGTTCAATCTCCAGCACCACAAAAAAAAAAAAAAAAAAAAAAAAAGATAAGGCAGAGCCAAAAACAGAAAGAAGCCAGTCTCCTCCTGACAGTGTTTGAGCCACTGAATCAGGCCTTGCCTAAGGCCAGACCTACTTCTGGGCTTTTTAGTCACATGAACCAATAGATTTGTGTGTGTATACACGTGGTCCAAGACTGAACATAGGGCCTCATGTAGGAGATATACCCCAACACCGTCAATACATTATTTTGTTTAAGCCAGAAATACTCTGTTTTTTATTACTATCAGCCAAAACATCCTAACTGGTAAAGTTGTGAAGAAAGAAAATGGAGGGCTGGGGATGTGGCTCAAGTGGTAGCGCGCTCGCCTGGCATGTGTGCTGCCCAGGTTCGATCCTCAGCACCATATACAAACAAAGATGTTGTGTCCGCCGAAAACTAAAAAATAAGTATTAAAGGTCCTGGGCCAAATGTCACCTTCTCAGGGAAACATTTAAAAAAAATGGAACATTATTATGCAAAAAAAAGAGACAAATGCCTGCTGGCTCGGCAGTCAAACACACGCTTAGAACACTGCGTCAGTCCCAGCACACCAAGGTCCCGGCTCCAGGTGGAGAAGGGTCTGAATATCTCCTTCCAAGCCACTGGCTGTCAGAAACTCATTGATGTGGACAATGAACGCAAACTTTGTACTTTTTAAGAGAAGCGTATGGCCACAGAAGTTGCTGCGGATGCTCTGGGTGAAGAATGGAAGGGTTATGTCGTCCGAATCAGTGTGGGAACGACAAACAAGGTTTCCCCATGAAGCAGGGTGTCTTGACCCAAGGCCGTGTTCGCCTACTACTGAGTAAGGGGCACTCATGTTATAGACCCAGGCGAACTGGAGACAGAAAGCGCAAATCTGTTCGAGGTTGCATTGTGGATGCCAATCTGAGCGTTCTCAACTTGGTTATTGTAAAAAAAGGAGAGAAGGATATTCCTGGACTTACTGATACTACTGTACCTCGAAGACTGGGACCCAAAAGAGCTAGTAGAATCCGCAAACTTTTCAATCTCTCTAAGGAAGATGATGTCCACCAATATGTTGTCAGAAAACCCTTAAACAAGGAAGGTAAAAAACCCAGGACCAAAGCACCAAAGATTCAGCGTCTTGTTACTCCACGTATCCTGCAACACAAGGGCCTGCGTATTGCTCTGAAGAAACAGCGTTCTAAGAAGAATAAAGAAGAGGCTGCAGAATATGCCAAACTTTTGGCCAAGAGAATGAAAGAAGCCAAAGAAAAACGCCAGGAACAGATTGCCAAGAGACGTAGGCTGTCTTCTCTGAGAGCTTCTACTTCTGAGTCCAGTGAAAAATAAGAATTTTTATCAGTAAGAAATAAATAAGATCAGACCTTCAAAAAAAAAAAATACACACACACACATAAAAGAGACAAATGCCAAAGAAATTTTCACTTTTCAGACAAAGGAAATATGCTATAAGGAGCCAGCAGTGAGACTAAAGACACAGAAAATAAAAGCAATAATCAATAGAAGTACCTAATGCTTTTGAGACATAGAAGCATCTGAATGTAGAATATAGGAAGAAATTTAGACAAAAGGGATGCCCACCAGTACCTGGGAAAAAGTAATCAGTCATCAAATATTTGTCCAATGAGTAGATTAATTATTTGGTATCTTCTGAAAACTCCTATATAACGGCAGATAACAGGTTTTTCAAGGCTACATTTTTTTTTTCATCTTTAAACTTTTCATGTCATTCTCAGAGGTTATCTTGGGCTCATCTTTTGAAATAGTTTTTTTTTGGTGGTACTGGGGATTGAACCAAGTGCAGTGCCCATGTTAAACAAATGCTCTACCACTGAGAATGAGCTACATTACCAGTTCAGACTTGAATTTTAACAAGTTTGTAGATGATTTTCACTTGCATTCAAGAATCACTAAATTTGGTTGTAGGAGTGGTATCTTGTTCACCTTTGTTTCTGTAGAAATTCATTCAGTGCCTGGCACAGAAAGCTGGTTTCTCAACTATTTGACATGTGAAATATGTAAGATAGGGAATCCTGTACTATTAAACAAGCCCACAAGTTTGGCCTTTGATAAAGCAAAAATTTATATTGTAGGATTTCTAAGGTAACTGTTGAATACTTGTCAGTTCATTATACATTTCTATTTTCTGTTTATGTTTGAAAATTTCCACAATAAAATTTTTCTAAAGAAATTAAAAATGTGTGATTCCCTGGTATGAGTGGTTTCAAACAGCTGTTACAATCAGCTGTGACATATGTCTCAAGTAATGAGTAAATAATTACACTCAATAATTAAAGTTAGCTGAGCATAGTGATGCATGCCTGTAATCCTAGCAGTCATTTTCCTTTCCATAAATTGAGATCAATCTTGTTCCATTCTCCTTACTTTCCAGTCACTTTAGTTTCATGTTAGTAAATAGATCTCAAAGCCACGTATGATGTTGTACACCTGTAATTTCAGAAATTCAGGAGGCTGAGGCAGGAGGATCACAAGATCAAAGCCAACTTCAGCAACTTGGGCCCTAAGCAATTTGACACTATTTCAAAATAAAAAAAAAGGGCTGGGATGTGGCTCAATGGTTAATCGCCCTGGGTTAAATCCCTGGTACCCTACCCTACCCCACAAAAAATTAAAGTTTAAGACCATGATTCATGACTTTGAAGTGAGATGGGTTCTATCACTTACCAACTAGATGACTTTAGGACCTCTATGTGTCTCAATTTCTGGATGGATAGAGATGTGTTGTCCAGGAAGGAAGGACTTGCTTCCCCAGCTGACAACATTTAGCTCTTAGATACTTTAGAGTCAAGTTGCAGAGTCCTCATGTATAAATTCACACCCTTCCCATGTGGACTACATCTAATGACTAAGGCAGGGCTAAAAAGTTTTCATGTCATTCTCAGAGGTTATCTTGGGCTCATCTTTTGGAATAGTTTTTTTGGTGGTACTGGGGACTGAACCAAGGGCAGGAGTTGGGAGAATAACAAGGACTGCATTCTGAGGGTGCTTATCAAGCCAGGTATGGTGGGGCATGCTTATAATCTCAGCAATTTGGGAGACTAAAACAGGAGAATTCCAAGTTCAGGATCATCCTGAGCAGCAAGACTCTGTCACAAAAGAAAAGTACTGGGGATGTAGCTCAGTGGTAGAGCATCCCTGAGTTTAATCCCCAGCACCACACACACAAAATAAGTCTGGTTATTTCAACTTAATATGGGTCAACTCTGATTTTAGCTTCAGAGTTTCCATGTCACAGATTGACATGATAATCAGGCCCACACTTCAGCTCATCTTCTCTTTCTCTCCC